GGGACTATGAGTATCAGAGAATAGTCATCAAGGCCCAAGCAGAGTCAAAGAATAACACTGGGGACCCAACACTGTTGCCTCTCATAAGAAAATTTGCCAAGGTGCTTCCATCTTACCTGCATAGGTGATTTGGCATAATTGTGATTGTCTAGAAAGGCTGGCAGTCGCTGAACAATAGGGGCAGGGTTTGGGGGAACCCCATTGAGACTCCCTGGAGGCTTCACCACCAGCTTAGATTTGCTGGGAGGACTGTGGGTCGGAACTTGTGGGCATGAACCAGCCACCTCCTCTGCACCATCTGAGACATGGCAGAGTAGACAGGACATTCAGGTGGATCCTTAAGAGAACTTTACAGCAGTCTCCCCAGTCTAGTGACAGTTGTTTCCCCAGTGAAGGTGGCTAACAGGACAGGCCACTAAGCACTAAGTCATGGTTCTACAATAAAATGGGGAAAATACAAGGCAACAAGAAAGGTAGCCTATAGAGAAAATACTGAGGGGTGGGAGGAGGAGGATAGGGGCAATATGGAGGGGCAGGTGTCTAAGGTCATGACAGTCCCTTACCCAACAGGTGTCCTTTAAGAAAAGCTCACTCTACTCTCCCTCAGTGTTTTGAGGGGAATTTCAGACCTCCTGCTGAAGCCCCTACACCACTGCCCAAGTACTTTCTTAAAGTGCTTGGGCCTCCCATGTCAAGCTATCCAAATGGTTGAGGCCCCAAGTCCCTCAAGTACCTGTGTGAGTGCACTCAGAAGCCGCTGGGGCCCTGCCTGCCTCCAGCCTGAGGGGGGACTTGCTGCTTGCTGGCTTGGTCTCCTCGGGCAGTTGTGACTCTTGAGATTTGTGGGTCTGAATCAGCTCCGGCTGTGTTACTCTAATCAGCTTAAAACACAACTCAAAGCTTAGAGGAGAAGGGATAGAGCCAGGTTTCCATCTCAGACAGCTAAGGGCTCTGACCCTACTCATTTCATTTATTTGCTAGAAAATAAAAAGGTCAAACCACAACTTCTTTTTAGAAGCTTCCCACCCTAAGTTTTGCTACCCCTGTAAAAGAAAGAAATGGTCAGTTAACCCTGAATCTACAAGACACCGTGATTTGGGAAATAGAGACAGACACTACAGTGTTGGAGAGACAGGGAGTGAAGTGTATGGCTGGCATGGCCAGGCAGAAGACCCACTCACCTGCTGCAGGGCCTCCAGGACTGTTTGTCGGTTCACCTTCAATACATGTAACCTGGCCTCATACTTGATCCTGCGGTCAGGTACCACAGCCATCAGGTTGAAGCGGATGTCATGGTATGGTTCCCTGTAGTCACAGTGAAAGCCATCAGAGCAGTTCCCACCCCAGCCAACAGACTGAGGCAAGTATCTTGTAGTTGAAGGTACAGGTTCTAATCCTATAGGCAGGCAGCAGCCAGTCACATACTCAGAAACCTGAGATGTACCTTCCATGAACTATGTGAAGGGCCCGTCAGGAAGTGAATTAGCACACTTGTGTCACCCAGCCACCCCTCAAGGCTTGCCCCTCCTCTAGCCCAGTCCAGAGCAGGTCACAGGCAGCCTAGGTAGGAAGACAAGGGGTTGGAAACCCAAGACCCAAGTCTGATCTTGCCAGATACACCACATGGTCTTACAATTTACAGAGCATTTGGCACCTCTCTTTCCCTCCCAAAGCGGACACAGTTCCATAAGGGCACAACAGGGTAAACTGAGGGTCTTTACCCTGCAGTAGCGAGGCCAATTCGTTCCATGATGACCCGCCGGGCTTTATCTGTCCACTCCTCATCCTCTCCCCAGGGCCCTAGGAGAGAACAAGATGAGGAATCAGCAGGTACGAAATCCTGAGATGATGTGACCAGGGATACAAGGAAAACAGATTACTGTGGTTGAGCCAGGTACAAGCTGGTCACATAACTTGGAGCAAGATTAAGTCATGGTCAGTTAGATGTCTTTGGTACCCACCCAGTTCATGCTACTGAGTCTCAAGAACCTAAGGGCCCTGAGACCCAGATAACCAGAAGGAAGCATGACAAATACAGCAAGCCACTTCCTCAGGATGCCTACCATGATCAATAGGGTAGACTTTCAACCCATCCAACTCAAAGAGCCGCCCTGTGATAGGTACATAGCTGACGAAATGGAAAGCCTCCATGGTCCGCACTGCACTGAGGCCATTCTGCTTCTCGGGAAGATGACGTGGTTCTGGCCTGGAAAAGGACAAAGTCAGAGACATCCTCCACTGCCCCTACCCCATATCAGCAACCACAGCTCTCACCTACCTGGCATGGCTATTATGTGCCTTGGCCAGCTCAGGAGCATTTCCAATTGCGTATCCTTTGCTCTAAGAAGAAAATAAGACTACATAAGAACAGATTCTTAGGTGAGCCTCTGGGTGAGGGCAGAGCTCCAGAGAGCAGGCTTAGAGGCATTCCAGGAATCTCAAGCAGCACAGGTAACTTTCCTAAAGGGCTAGTGGTGGCAGATGAAAGCACAGGACCTCCCAAAGGGAGGGGCCATACTGGCTTTGCACAGTAATCAGTGACTACTGGGGAGCAACACAGCCTGCTACAAAAAGTTACAGGAGAAAAAGTCCTGACGTAGGTGACTTGAATTTCTCCTTCTCTACTATCATCTCCTTTCTTAACAGCAAAGTCTAAAACCAACCACCTTCCACATAACTTATGAGTCAAACAGATGTTAATTATCATTTGAAAAAGAAATGGCCAAACAGTACCAAGTCTCATGTAGTGACATTACCAAAGGCTCTGAGGACCAGATGTGCCCAGCCAGCTGTGAGCCATGATTTAAGGCACTCAACATACCTCTGGGCTGAAGCCTTTGGTGAAATCCTTCATTCGACTCAAGGTGGGCCCCAGATCCACACTGCTGCAGTTCAGGAGCACGCTCAGCAAGGCATGAGTGGCGCAAGAGTTGGGAATCAGCTGTAAATCAAAAATAGTCACTCATATACCCCTCACACACCCTCTACTGTAAGCTTCTCCAAGCCCACATTCACTGAGAAGACTACAAAAAGATGTCAGCAACCCTCATCGGTTTCCTTTGTCTCGCTCAGTCTTTCCTCATACAACAGACCAACTAAGTACCAAGTATCTAGGGACGTAGAGACTATCCGGAGATACTATTTACTTTAAAGGCATTCACTTCAATGAAAAAGAGCTAGGTTTTGTTTGCCATGGGGTGTCCACAACAACTACTCCTGGTACCAGTCTAGCTCTTCTTCCTGCTTCCCCCACTGTCACTTTCCACACAAAACCAATTAACAACCAAAACCAAAAAACAGTATCTTGCCCTTCGAACTAGCTCAGAACTCAGCTGACCTGGTGGGCAAAGAACATGTTATTCACAATATCGTCATCAATCACAGATGTATCATCCACCAATGTAGAAACCTTGCGGCGGGACCTGCGTTCTTCGATCCATTTGAACAGGAAGATAAATCCATATACAGGCCTAGAGAAGGAAGAGGCAGGGAACAGTCAGCATCCCCTTCTTTCTCTCCCTAAGTCTGCACTGGGGGTGGGGGGCTAGTGCTCTGAGCCCCTCACTCTTATCAAGACTGAATCCGAGACCTCACACCCAGAAGCCTATCACAGGCAGTCAGGTGTGAGCTTGATGCTCTGAAAGCCCACTCAGTCACATTGTGAAGTCTGGGCAAGAGAAGGAAATCAGGAACCAGTAGTTCAGGGTGCAGCAAGGTGGAAACACAATATAAGGCACACAAACTCTGATAAGAAGTCAGCACCAGCTCTCATTTGTGGACCTTAGCCTCAAGCCCCCAAACCGGGGAAGCATATGTACTTCTGAACCAGCCCTTTCATTTCTAGGAAATAAAAGCGGACTTCTCGGATCATTCCTGTCAGCAGGTTCCTCTATTCTACAGATCACCAAAACTAGAACCTGAGTTTAGGTCCCTGAAAAGGGCCGTGTCACCAAAACCAATCAATGCAGGACAACTTCATTTAGTTTGGAGACATAGTCTCACTATGTAGCTTAGGCTGGCCTCAAACTCAAGAGATCTGCCTGCCTCTGCCTTCCAAGACCCGGGATTAAATGGACGCACCACCACTCCTGGTCAGGACAAATTCTGCGTGGTGATGAAAGGCACAGCACACGTGGACTGTACATGAACAAAAAAGGCCAGAGACTTCTTGCTGCAACACCAGAAAAGGCAGCCGAACTGTACTCCAAGAGTGGTTAGGATTAAAAGGTGAGTTACTACTTCCTGAGGGGAAGCGCTGAGGGAAGACTGGGAATTAAATACAAAAACAAAAGTCCAAGGAGGGCACCCACAAAGAGCGAAGTTTTCTTATCTATCATTTTATACTACCGCCTCCCTTGAAGGGGTACTATTCCACTGACCTCTCCCAGCCCCCACGGAGGTAAGGGCCCAGCCACTCACCCCTGGCATTTACTCTGAAGATCATAGATCTCCTCCACTTGCACCCCTTTGACACCTATGATCAGGAAAGAAGAAGTCGGCAAGGCAGCCCCAGGCTCTGCAGCGAGAACTCAGGGGGCGCACACACACACACACACACACACACACCCTAACAGCCAGGTCCCAAAGGTCAGGGGCGGTTCTTACCGAAATCTTCCACCAGGAGGGTGAAGAGGCCTGGGTGGGACAAGAGGAGGGATTGTCAGGCAGGAGCGTCCGGGGCCCATCCGGCCTCCCCAGCCCCCGGCCCTCCGGGGCCCCTCCGTACCCGGGTCACTCTCCAGCTCCAGCCAGCCCTTATTCATCTTCCCGCGGAGCGGCCCCTCAGCGCCATGTCCAGGCCCTGCCAACCCCGCGCCGCTCCCAAAGGGAGCGCCCACCGCACTCGGGGCTCCTCAGCCCCACACAGACAACGGGCCGCGCCGCGTCACTAGCCCGCGCCGGGGATACGACGTCATCACTACGCGACGACTCTGGCCCGGGGCTGGCCTTCCGCCCGCAGACCCGTAGAGGCGGGCTCGCGCGCACAGAGGCGAGCATGCGCGCGCGCGCGGGGCATGATCGGGCGCGCGGCCGTTAGCGGTGCTCGTTTTGACAACTGTCCGCCACGCTGAGGTCTCCGCGGGCCACATCGTCCACGTGACCCGGCCCCCGTTAGCGCGTTCGTCTCCTCAGACGGCACAGTCATCACGCGGGGCGGCCGCCCGTGAAGTAGCTACCACGGCTTGTGTCAACGAATAAAGCTCCGGGACAGCGGCGCCCTCGGCGACAGCTGGGTGGGCAGCCTGGGTGGCAGTGGTGATTCGTAGCTTCCGTGGGGAGCGAGAGGCGGAAGCAACCTCCAGCCTGGCTCCGCACCAGCTGCCCGGCAGGCGTGACCTGAACCTGGTCTGGCATGCGCGGAATGCTCCTTGAGCCCCTCTTCTGGCTGTTACCTTCGGGGGACGGTTGTGGCCACACCGACACGTATTTTCCAAATAAATCGTTTATTCTTGCAGCGGCGGGGCCGAACACGTTACTATAATTTTAATTTTCTCAGCAAGCATTTACCCAACACTTTTAAACGGTGAAACAATTTGGTAAGCGTTTTGAGTGAGCATCCGCCGGATTAGGAAGTCACGGACTGAGCAGCTTGCTTTTTACCACGTCCATCCTCGACTGTTTTTGAAGATTGTGCCATCTTACAACTACCAGTGTGCACAGACTTCTACTCAAGTAACGTCGTGGTCCAGCGATGCAAAGGACTGAAGTCTCAAGGTTTATCTGTATTCTAACACGGTTGGGTTTAGCGCCAACAACTATGAAGTGGTTAAAGTAGATCCCCCTCCGCCCCCCGCCCCAGAGGGAAATAGCAAGGTTAGAGCCACATCTCACTCCAGCCTGTCAACGTTTAGTAAGGAAACAAACCGATGCCAGCCCTGTAACTGCATCTCCTGTGTTGGGAAAACCTAGCCTGAAGTTTCAGTGGCTTGTAGCAGCTAGCATTTATATCCAATAGTTAGACGTTCGTGAAGATATTTGTTATCCCCAGTCTTGATTTGAGGCTTTGGGTCATGAAGTATAGTATGTCTCTAGAATGACCTAATTCACTGAACTCTTTAAGAAATGTTACCCTCCTTCCCCTTACTACATAGACAGCCCTTCATGGGGTGACTCCCCTGACCCCTTATCCTCAGTATCCTCTGGAGACTTTGTAATGACCAGTGAAACCTGGGTAACTTTGTAACCTTTTTACACTGGTAACAGGAGTGGGTGGCATTTTACTCAGGTTACATCTTGACAGGGATGGGCAGGCCAGACCTCAATGGCAGCTCAACCTGGTAAAGAGAATGAGAGCAAGGGGGCGGTCTTTACTGTTACTTGTCCCTCCACTAGATGGAGTCTTGGCTTGTAAGTTTTCAAGTCTCTCAGAGCCCTTTCGCTAGGAAAGAGCTACCTATCTAACTGGGTAGAAAAGGCGCCCACACTTGGGTACAGAGGGTACATTTTTCTTGAGTATTGTCCCATGCACTTAGTTAAAACAGAACCGTTTAACTTCAAGTCTCACTTTGGATCACTGATTCCGACCTTGGCCAAGATGTTTATCTCACTGTACCTCAGTCTCCTCAACTTGAAAATAAGGGTGCTAATTGTGCCTCAGTGTGTTGTAAGTGCCTAGAATGGTTCTTGGCGCGCTTTAATTTTTTTTGGCCATTACTGGCATTAATATTGGATATACCCCTTATATTGAATGAAAATTGAATGAGTTGAAAAGTGCAATATTGCTTTGATTTTGATGAACTTGATAACCAAATGTAAAATCAAATTGCTAATCTACCTTATTTATATTTATAGCTGGAAAAACCTGTGTTGTCTTCATAATAGTCCCAAAGAATCCTAGATAGGAAGGAAAGAAAGAAGCGAATGAAGACTGTAAAAGAAACGAAGGAATGTCCAAGAATCAGGTAGAGTAGGTGACCTGGAAGAGTTGGGGGAAATTGCAGTGGCCATTGATACATGTTGCATTGTCTGTTTCCTTTGGCTAGGGTTAGACAGTATCAAAGCATACACCAGTCCCGTCCCCCCCCACACGCAAAAAAAAGTAGCCCTCCCTGCCTTCCCAGTGCCATCCCCAGTGGCAGAGTGACAACTGTGGACCATTACTACTTAAATCTCTACCACACCTATGCTGCTTGTCAACTGCAAGGCCTGAGACAAATCACATGCCTCAATTCACTCATCTCAAAAGCATGCTTTATAATAGTACTCCCTTTATAGAATGCTCTGCAGATCTGTTGAACTAATTCATGGTAAAGTACCAAAAATAGTGCCTAGCGCTGGGAAACAGTCAACTTCAGCCTCATTTCAGTGCTGTGGGTAATTGGCAAAAAAAATAAAAGGAAGGGTTACTCTTGAATTCGTTCAACCCAGGCAGTATACACACTATCCTCAAATAATTTGGTGTATTTTATACTTTAAAAACGAAATATGAAAAGCCTTTAGAGAATTTGGTCCCTAATCAGATTATAGTGGCATTTTAAGGGAAAGTCAGAAGGCTTGTCATTAGCATCATCTAAGTGGTCTTACACTTTTTTCTCTTACATAGAAGAGCTGCCAGGACTAAGAAGGTCACCCCGAAGACGCTATCTTCGGGCCCTGGTAAGAGATATGAGATGATGTTCAGTTGTTGCTTCCAGCCATTAGCAAAGACATCCACTCCAATGGGACAATGAACTCGCTCCTTTCATTATCAACCCCTACTTCTTCCCCAGATTCTCTTGAGATTAAGATCCTAAAGAATTCAGTGTCTGACTCTGGGCGGTGGTGGAGCACGCCTTTAATCCCAGCACTTGGAGGCAGAGGCAGGTGGATCTCCATGAGTTCAAGGCCAGCCTGGTCTACAAAAGCTAGTTCCAGGACAGCAAGGACTGTTAGACAGAGAAACCTTGTCTCGAAAAACCAAAAAAAAAAAAAAAAGAAAGAAAGAAAGGAAGGAAGGAAGGAAGAAAGGAAGGAAGAAAAGAATTCAGTGTCTGTAGTTTTAAAGTTTCATATCTGAAGTTCAAGCTGAGAACAAAACAGTATAAAGTGTTGTCTCAGCTTATACTTTCAGTGTGACCAAAATTATATCAAGCCCTGATACCTAACAAGAATTAACCTCTGTCCTTGCCAGAATTACCCTGTTCCCGGGAGAGATATGTGCTTTAACTTCTGCTTTGTTTTGCATTAAAGTGATGCAAAAGTGATATGCATCAGTAGAAACCATACTTCATGTTTGGGGTCTTGATGGCTTCCCAAGCTAATGATATCTAGTACAGTATTCTCTTGCAGTGGCAGCAAGGCATAGCTCCTGGTAAGCCTAGTAAAAGAAACCAACTATTTGCAGTGTACTATGCTGCTAAGCTATAGAGCTCCATAGGCTACATGTAGTAAATGAGCTTCCAGCTTAGGGTGTTTTCAAAAACCCTTTGTAAGTAAAGGAGCCTCTAGACACTTAGGTGGTTAGGCCCACTTTTCTGGTTTTTGTTTGTTTGTTTGTTTTGTTTTGTTTTGTTTTGTTTTTTAGTTTTTTGAGACAGGGTTTCTCTGTAGCTTTGCTTTGGAGCCTGTCCTGGAACTAGCTCTTGTAGACCAGACTGGCATCGAAATCACAGAGATCCGCCTGCCTCTTCCGAGTGCTGGGATTAAAGGCGTGTGCTACCACCCTCCAGCCATTTTTCTGTTCTTAATGATCAACTTGAACCAAGCCTTTATTCTTAATGTTTCCTCTTCCAGTTTGCCTGCTATGCCTTCAAGAACCTGGTGATCCTGAAAAACTAGGAGACTTTCTTCAGAAAGACAGTCTTTGTGTGCACTATTTCTGTCTTGTGAGTATTAAGGCCCTCTCTGCCCTATGTGTCTTACAGCTTTTGTTAGACAAGTAATTCTGCGTCTAGCCTCAAATTTACAGCTGCTTGTTTTTCCTTAGTTCTTAATCTTTTTAAAATTACTTTTAAATAAAAATGACATGATCTAAAATCCTAACACTATAAAGCATAAAGGCCCTCTTCCTTAAATCATGTTCCCTCTTCCTCTCTGCCTCCCAGAAACCAATGCTCACTTGGATTGTCCTTCTAGTGGATTTTCTCCAATATGCTTTTTTAATAAATGTAACCTGAATACTATAAAATGAACCAATCTTAAGTGTACAGTTGGATGAATTTTTTAAAGATTTATTTTTATTTTATTGTTTTGCCTGTATATATGTCTGTGCACCATGTATGTGCAGTGCCCTCAGAGGCCAGAAGAGAGCACCAGATTCCCTAGGAATGGAGTTACAGACAGTTGTGAACTGCCATGTGGATAACTGGAACTCAAACCCTTGTCCTGCCCAAGAGCAGCTAGTGCTCTTAACTGCTGAGCCCTATCTCTAGCCCTTGATTTTTGATAAATTGTATATCCTTGTGTAATCACCGTCCACATTAAAATAACCTTTCAGTCATCTCAGAAAATACACCTCACACCCTCTGCTAGTCAGTGCCACCAGAGGCAGTCATTAGAAGGATCAAGAGATTAGGTTGCCTATAATTTTACTCCATATAAATTAAACCATACAGTTTATATTTTTCTATTAGGTCCCAACCCCCAAATTGACAGTCTGGGTCCAACTCAGGCTGGACTCTGACCAGGTAAACTATAGGACTGTTACTTAAGATTAACATTCCTCAGAAACCTTGTAAAGTGGGTTTCTGTTTGTCAAGAAAAGCCATTGTTTCCCTTAGCTGCCCACTCCTCCCCCGGTCACCTACTTCCGGAAAGGGCATCTAGTTCCCTGTTAACTGGAGCAAGTCTCCAGCAGACCAGAACCTTGTGCTAGTTCCAGGCTGTTGCAGCCAGCTCGCTGAAACCACAGCTCTTCATCACTGGCTGTTCTCTATCACACGAGAGAGCCATGCAGCAGTCTGATATTTCCAATAAACGTTTCTCTGCACCCATCGTGTGGTCTGATTTGGTCGTTTCACTGCACCCATGCTTACATCTAGTGCAGAAGCGAGAAGAAACATTGGGTCCCACCCTAAAGGGGCTATGCCTTTTCTGACCAAACTGTTGATTTGGCCCTCCTGGGTACAAATCACTTGCTTCTTGTGACTCCTGCCACCAACCATGTTTGACTACAAAGTTCAGAGTCTGCCTCTCCAGCCATTTCCCTCCTCCACCTCCTCTAGTCACTTATCTTCCAGGTTAGTGTCCTCTCCAAGCTGCCTGCTCTAGCTCAATACAAAAGTCATACTGGTATGCCAGACTAGCTTCCCACACCTTCCTGTGCTCCCCATCAGTGTGACAAAGGATACCTATCCACTAATCCTGGGCATCTCTCTGACAAGTCTTGATGCCCTGGGGATGTCTTCAGATTGAGATTCTGTCTGTCCTATGGCATTTACCCGTCTCTCCCGCCCTCCCTGTATCTCCATTCCTATGCTATTGAAATCCCCCCCCCCCGCAAGATTGCTATTTCAACCCCCTTTCATAAATCCCGCCCCTTCCACCCTGCTGCCTTCTGCCCCTGTCAATTCTATACTGCTGCCCTTTTAAGGACAGCTCCCTTCTGAATTGTCTCCCTTCTGACTTGGTCTTTCTCCATCTTTACTTTGCCTGCCAGAGCCTGAACTAACCATGGATTCTTATCAGACTCATATTAGCTCCTCTCTCCTGCCTCCTCTAATCTTGTTCCCTCCTCAAACTCAGAGAGTCCATAAACCTGGCTTACATCTGGTGCTGAAATGTTTTTTTTTCCCCCAACAATGCTTGAACATGTTAAAAGTTATCTTTTCGACAGTTGGTGGAAATTTGATTTGCTTTAGTGGACTTTTGTGAATAAAGCTGCTAAAAACATTCATGTGGAAGTCTTTTTGTGACATGCATTCTCCTCCTCTGGACAAATGCCTAGCAGTGGGATTACTGAGTATATCTAAGTATGCATGTGTGAAGTTGCCAAGTCATCTTTCCAAAGTTGTTGTACCAGTTTGCACACCCATTAGCAATTTAGGAGAGTTGCAGCTGACAATTTTTTACCAAAACTTGTTATTGTCAGCCTTTCATTTCAGCCTTCCTACTGGATGCTACTGGCATTTTACTGTGCTCTTAATTTGTGCTTCTTTGAGGAATAAAGATGTTGAGGTTTTCATGTGCTAATTCACATATCTCCTTTTAAACCTGTTTGAATATTTTTGTCCATTAAAAGAAACTGGATTAGCTGGGCAGTGGTGGCACACGCCTTTAGTCCCAGCATTTGGGAAGCAGAGGCAGACAGATCTCTGTAAGTTTGAGGCTAGCCTGGGCTACAAGAGATAGTTCAAGGAAAGGCTCCAAAGCAAAGCTACAGAGATCCACCTACCTCTGCCTCCCTAGTGCTAGGATTAAAGGTGTGTGCCACCACCGCCCGGCAGTATTGTGTATTTCTTCTTAAATGGTTTTCTAAATATTTTGTTGCTGAATTATAGAAATGCAATTATTTTGTTTATTGATTTTTGTATTCTATAATTTTGTTACATTCACCAATTCAACAAAATTTTATTGATTTATTTATTCATTTAATTTATTTGGGGTTCTCTGGATCTCTGTATATATAGTTAGTGCCATGTTTAGCTGAAGACAGCTCTGCTTCTTTTCCAAATTTTGTCCTTTTCTTAAAGATAGGGTCTCATGTAGCCCAGGCTGGCCTTAAACTTATCCTATAGTTTGAGTATGACCTTGAGCTTCCTTTTTTCTTGTGTGTTGGGGGGAGGGAGTATATGAGTGTACAGATTCATATATGTATGCATGTGTGTTCAGTTATGTGCATTCATGTGTACCTGCGGAGATGAGGTTGATATCAGGTGTCTTCTATTTCTCTCCATCTTGCTTTTTCAGACAGGATCGTGGAGCTCACCAATCTGACAAGAATGCCTGACCATCAAACTCCAGGGATCCTCCTATCTCTGCCTCCTTAGTGCTAGGATTACAAGCACACATCACCATCCCCCACATTTTATACCCATGATGAGGATCTGAACTTAGGTCCTCATGCTTGTGCAGCAAGGCTTACTGACTAAGCCATCTCTCCAGCCTCTAACTCTCAAGTATTGAGATTACAGGCATTTGCCACATGCTCTGTTTGTTTGTTTGAAAGGTGATTTTATATGTTTTGCCTAAATGAGCATGCCTCGTGCCTGAGGAGGTCAGAAGAGGGGGTTGGATTCCCTAGAACTGGGGTTATAAAGGTTATGGGCCACCATGTGACTACTGGGAATGGAGCCTTTGTCTTCTGCAAGAACAACAAGTGTTTTTAACCACTGAACTATATCTCCAGCTCCCTTGCCCAGTTTTTTTTAAATATCTATTTATTTATTGTGTATACAATATTCTGTCTGTATGTCTGCAGGCCAAAAGAGGGCACCAGACCTCATTACAGATGGTTGTGAGCCACCATGTGGTTGCCAGGAATTGAACTCAGGACCTTAGGAAGAGCAGGCAATGCTCTTAACCACTGAGCCATCTCTCCAGCCTCCAGTTTTGTTTTTTTTGTTGTTGTTGTTGTTGTTGTTTTTGGTTTTGGTTTTTCAAGACAGGGTTTTGTAGACTAGGCTGGCCTCAAACTCACAGAGATCTACCTGCCTCTGCCTCCTGGGTGCTGGGATTAAAGGCATGTGCCACCACCGCCTGGCTCATGACCAGGTTTTAATGTGGTGCCAAGGATTGAACCTCATACTTGCTAGGCAAGTACTCTACCAACTAAGCTACATCTCCAGTCCCTGTTTTTTTCTGCCTTTTATTTCTTCTTGCCTTTAGTAACTGGCTAGTTGTCTATGCCTTTCTTCCAGTATTAGGGGACAGCATCTAGTTTTTCATCATTAGAAATATATTAACTTTAAACTTTTTTTTCATAGATATGTTTTGTCAGATTGAAATTCTCTTATTCCTAGTTTGCTGAGGCTATCACAAATGTGTACTGAGTTTTGCGATGATTTTGACATCTATTGACATGATCTTGATTTTTCTCTTTTTGTGGTTTGTTATGCCAACTGGATTATCTGATGTTAAACTAATCTTGCATTCTTGGTACAGGCCCTTCTTGGTCATACTTGGTCAGATTCTTTGAATATGAAGTTGAATCCAACTTACTAATCTTTTTATTTATGTCTATCCTCATGAGAAAAAGTGATCTATGATTTTCCTTTCTCATAAGTCCTGCTAGATGTTAGGGCTTGGTTAATTCTGGTGCATTAATAAGCATATACATTTTAACATAAAATTAAACATATACAATGTTCTATAGGGTTTTCTTTCCACCTTGTGTACTTTGGAGATCTCACCATATACAGCATATAGACCTGGTTCTTTAAGTAGCTGACTGGTGTTTCATAGTGTGGATGTTCCCAAAATATGCAATTCCTGTTAAAGAATATTTAGAGGGGGCTGGAGAGATGGCTCGGTGGTTAAGAACACTGCTGCTCTTTCAGAGGACCTGGGTTCAATTCCCAGCACCCATATGGCAGCTCACAACTGTCTAAATCTCCTGCTTCAGGGGATCCAACACTCTCATACAGGCATACATGCAGGAAAAACACCAATGTAGATAAAATAAAAATAAATTATTTAAAAAAAGAATATTTAGAGCTGTTCATGACAGTGCACACTTACAATCTCAGCACTTGGGGGGCAGAGACAGACGATCGTGAGTTTAGAGTCAGTCTGGGTTATATAAGATTGTCACAAAAAATAAGTAGATCTCAAAAAAATGTAAAAGGATGGGCTAGAGAGATGACTTGGCGTTTAAGATTCCTAGGTGTTCTACCAGAGGACCTGGATTCAGTTCTCAGCACCGACATGGTAACTCCAGTTCCAGGGGACCTGACCAAACACACATGCAGGCAAAACACCAATACACATGAAATAAAAATAAATCATTAAAAAAAAAAAGCTTGGCATGGATGGCACATATCTTTAGTCCCAGCACTTGGGAGGCAGAGGCAGGCAGATCTACATGAGTTTCAGGCCAGTCTGATCTACAAAGCAAGTTTCAGGACAGCCAGGGCTGTTACACAATGAAACCCTGTCTCAAAAAAAAATTTTTAATGACATTTAAATTGTTTCTGTTCTTTATTTTGTTTGTCTGTTTGTTTGTTTATACAAATAGCACATGCTTGGCCAGGCGGTGGTAGCACACAACTTTGATCCCAGAACTTCGGAGGCAGAGGCAGGCAGATCTCAGTGAGTTCACGGCTAGCCTGATCTACAAAGCTAGTTCCAGGACAGCTAGGGCTGTTACACAGAGAAACCCTGTCTTGAAAAGAAAGAGGGGGGGGGGATGAAAGAGCATGTGCTCATTGTAAAAAAAACATGACTAATATTTAAAAATATAACTAAAACAAAATCACTCATTATGATAAAACCTTGGGATAATGATAAAATGTGAACTGTTTTAAGCGTTGTTAGGAACCGATAGCTATAACCCAAGTCATCTAACACTATAGGATCATCTCTCTATAATGTTAAAGTAGGATTACCTGATAGACTTGGAAGACTGAGGCAGGATTACCACAAGTTCAAGACCAGCCTTGACTGCACAGACTGTCTCAAAAATAAATATTGGGGCTAAAAAAATGGCTCAGTGCTTAAAAGTATGGTTTGGTTCCTAGAATCCTCATAGCATTTCACAAACATCTGGAACTCCAGTTCTAGTGACTCTGACCACCTATTCTGATCTCTTCAGGGACTGCACACACACATACATAAAGACAAACACTCATACACATTTTTAAAAATCTGTAAAATAGTTAAATAAATACATAACCCAAGCTCCCATTACACATTTTATAACCACTGCAAGAAGCCCACTATCCTAGTATTTTTGAAATAGTAAGATAAGCAGGATGACTCAATGAATTTAATAGAACCATATAACTTTTTTTTTCTTCATTACCCATAGAATCATCTTTGAACACTTTTAAAGAAACAAACAGCCCATTAAAGTATGCTTTCAGAAGTACAACTCCTTAGGCCGGGCGGTAATGGCACACACCTTTAATCCCAGTACTTGGGAGGCAGAGGCAGGTGGATCTCAGTGAGTTCAAGGCTAACCTGGTCTACAAAACGAGTTCCAGGACAGCTAGGACTGTTACACAGAGAAACCCTTTCTCGAAAAAAAAACAAAAAAGGGGGAGAGGTGCAACTCCTAACCTTTTCCTGTTAATGCAGAATGGCCATTAAAGAGGGGATTTTAAAATTCCATTTACCTTCTTGTTATACTCTTAGAAAAATATTCTAAAAATAATCCTTTACTAAATGGGGTAAGACTGTGGGTTCTGTAGGCCAAATGTGAATGCCAGTTTTGTCATTCCTTGCCATGTGATTCCAGCCACGTCACTTACCACATCATGCTTCAGTGGCCTCCTCTGAAATTAAAGCCACAATAGCTTCTGTGTCGTGTAGTTGTTATAAGCATGAAGTGAGTCAGTCTAGAGAGCACATGTCCCCTCTGGTCACATAGTGGCAGGAGCAGCCCTTAGCAAATGAGGGGCGGAATAGCACTGCATAAAGGTACTGGTTCTGAAGCCCAGTGGCCTTTACCAAGGTATGTTTCTTCATACTGGGTTGTCCAAAGAGTTAATGATTAGAAAGTGCTGGAGTATCCGATACATACCACTATCAGACTTCATTAAATGAGCTGTCCCATATAGACAAGCATGTTCCACCGAGCTCCATTTCTTTGGTCACCGTCACCCCACTGTACCATTTCACTGACAATCTTACATTGACAGCCCGTTTCTGCTCCTCTAGATCCTATCTAGCAAGTTGCCTCAGAAGGGCCAACCCAACAAAGGTCTCCATGGATTTATGCCCAAAGACATCAGAAAGGAAATAGCCCGGGCTTCTAAGAAGGTTAGAATTCCTTGAAACAGGGACCCTGGAGTGGGTAGGCCTCCTCTCATACATGTTTCAGAATCTCTGTCTGTCTGTCTGTCTGTCTGTCTGTGTGTCTTTGTCCCTGGGAGTCAAACCCAGGACCAGAGTATGATAAGCAAGCACTGAGTTACACCCCTAGCTCCAGTCCTCTTATGTCCCATCTCTTCTGGGATGTTTCCTAAGTAAAGAGTTGGAAGCAGCATCCTGAGAAATCAAGAGGAATCAGTGCTTCCTGAAGTTCAGCTCTAGGGTACCCTGGACCACTGAGGGAAAGAGGATAGCTGTTGCTTCCCAGAATTCCCACTCAGTAGAAAGAAGAACCACAACCTCTGTTTGTCTTTCTCGGGTCACAAAACATTTTCTGGAATCTCATTTGCAGATCTGCTTTGTGTGCAAGAAAAAGGGAGCTGCTATCAAATGCCAGAATGGTCAGTGTGCCAAAAGCTTCCATCTGCCTTGTGGCCAAGAAAGGGGTTGCCTTTCACAATTTTTTGGAGAGTACAAGTAAGTGAGGAAGGAGAAAGTTGGGGTGCCCTTTTGTAACCTGCTATTTAGACACCACTGAAATCAGAACCTAGTTCTCACGAGACTGTTGATTCTCCAACAAATCTGTCCCTCCACTTAATAATGGGAAACAGTGTCTTGACTTGGAAGTTTCACAGGGGTTTCTTCTTGCTTCCTGCCCCCTCCTTAAATTACAAACAGCTGGGGTTCTTAGACAGCTGCGCATAACTAAATAGGGCTTTAAGTAATGGGAAGCCATGGAGACGGTCGTCAGAGCTTTGCTCAGGGGTGAGCAGCCATGAGAAGTCATCTAGAGTGTCTTCACCTGCTTTTCTGAGGGTCTAGATTCACTGGACACCCAGAAAATGGCTGATTGCCCTTCCTAGGTCAGGCAGCAGGGAATCTGCATCAGTGACAAACCAGAAACCAAATTCGTTTACCCACCACAGATCATTTTGTGGAAAACATCGCCCAACACAGAACATTCAACAGGGGAGTCTGGGGGAGGAAAGCTGTGTCTTGTGTTGCGAAGACTTATCCAAAACAAGTGTTGAGAATATCCGGAGCCCATGTTGTAGTCAAGCTATCTACCACCGGAAGTGTATCCAGGTGGGCTTCCTTTGCTCTAGGGGGACTTTTCATGATTGCCCTGGCCCTGTGCTTGGAACCAAGGCAACCTGGGAATGCTCAGGCATGTCTAAGCTTCAGAACTACACACTGCAGGCCTATATACAGGAACTGCTTCCGGGTCAGTTAGGGAATAATCAGCCCAGTCTCTGGTTATCCTTGGCCTAGGGCCTCATTCATGATAAGATTTAGACTAAGCAAAATCATCAGGATTGCCAAAAGCAAATGGGTATTTCCAAGAGTGAGTCAAAGAGCTCAAAATCAGCCTCACTGCTAGGATGTATTCAGCGCCTGACCCCTGCTGAGTCAGGACTGCTGAGACCCTAGCCAGAAATGACAACCGAGGCACTCCTGGGCAATCTTGAAAAGCGTTCTGGTCACAGGCCTGACACCTAGTACACCCAAACTGCCCTTCCTGAACCCCCTGAGGTGACCTGATGGTTTTCACAAATGCCTTCTTCCCTTACAGAAATATGCCCACACATCAGCGAAGCACTTCTTCAAGTGCCCCCAGTGCAACAACAGAGAAGAGTTTCCCCGAGAGATGCTGAGAATGGGAATTCACATTCCAGACAGGTAGCAGGAAGTCTGTATAGAGGGCCTGAGCCAGAGAGTGGGTTGAGAGGGTGGTTCAGAGACTGGCAGCAGCTGGGCGCTGGTGTGCAGTGAAGTAAGAAGAGTGCTTTTCAATCATCCAAGAAAAGGGAGGGGGAAGAGGGCAGAAGCATAGTCCTGAAAAGGTGCTTTGAAAGAACAGAAATCTGGGGGTGGTGAGTGTGAACTCCAGGGTGGAGCTAAGGACCCGTGCTCCACTCTGACTGCCTCAGTCCTCTGCCTATAGCCAGCCCACCCAGCTGGGCAGCCATTGAACTCTTGCGTGCTTAGCTTGGATTCTCAAGGGTCACCAGGGGAATATGCGTCCCTTACAAGTTCTTCTCCCCCTGCAGAGATGCTGCCTGGGAACTGGAGCCCGGGGCTTTTTCGGAACTGTATCAGCGCTATAAGCATTGTGATGCTCCCATCTGTCTGTATGAACAGGGCAGAGACAGCTTTGAGGATGAAGGGTAGGAAGAAGCTCCGGGCAGTGCCATCTTAGATCTTGACAGTGTTACTAAAGTGGGCGTCTGCTCTTGTCCACCCTCTGGATAAACCTAGTTGCCAAGTTCCATTTTAGACCAGCCCCTGACTTACCCATGCACAGACGGGCAGGGCTCCTCTGCAGGGTCTGCTGTTTGTGTCCACTGGAGAGGCACCTGTGTCCACCTGTCGCCTCCCAGGGCCATGGGGTGTAATAAATGTGCACAGTAAAATTAAACTGATTTAAAATGCCCTTGGGGTTGGAGGATGACTTAGTAGTTAAGAGCACCAACTGCTCCTCCAAAAGACCCAGGCTCTATTCTCACCATTCTCATAGCAGCTCCCAGCGGTCTACAATCCCAGTCCCAGGGGATCTGACACCTTCTTTGGCCTCCATAGGCAATGTATGCACGTGGTACATATACATGCATGCAGGCAAAACACAAAAACACATAAAAATAAAATTCCCAGGAAGTTTTCCTCATGGCTGAGGCTGAATGGTAGGTAACATTCAAAAGTGACAGTTGGTGTCCTGATTGACCCTACACCTCTCCATGACTCTTCCGTAGGCAGTGGCGCCTGATTCTGTGTGCTACATGTGGATCCCATGGAACCCACCGAGAGTGCTCCTCACTGAGACCCACCAGCAAGAAATGGGAGTGCAGTGAGTGCTCACCTGCTCCAACCATGGGTAAGAACGGGGTGGGTGCTAGGAGGTGGTGGTGGATGCAGTACACATCTTTAATTGCAGCACTCAAGTTCAAGGCTAGCCTGGTCTACAAACTGAGTTCCAGGACAACCAGGGCTACACAGAGAAACCCTAGGATGGGGATGGGGACTTGTCCTGCCTGGGAATGAAGAAAGCATGTCACAAAGGGGAGCTTTGGATGGGCAATGTGGCTTTGAAAGGGAAGCGGCTGGTGAGGGGTGGAAGGACTTATACACAGGAAAAACAAAGGTGAGTTTCCCTTCCCTCCTCTATCTCTCTCCCACCACAGATTATGTATCTGAAGACTCAGCTGACATCCCCTGCTGCAGCAGTACCTTCCATCCCCAGGAGCATTTCTCCAGGGCCACCAACCCGGAAGAGAGTCCAGGCTCTTCTTGGACTGAGTGGATACGACCTTCCCTATCAGAAAAGCCCGAGTCCTCTGGTGGCAGAAGACGACGCTCCTGGAGATCCAAAGGAGTCAGAGTCACTAAGAACTGCAAAAAATCCAAGTAAAGCTTCAGAGGAGCTGCTGCCAAGGATGGTGGAGTACCAGACAGCACTGCTGCATCAGTTTGGAGAGGTAGCACTTTGAAACCATGGGACAAAGGGGAACAGCAGTGAGATCAGTAGCCAACAGCTGAGCGTAAGGGCTCCTCTGCTCTTCCTCCAGTTCTTTTCTCCCCTCACCAAAGACTCTTCTGCCCTAGATGGTTTGCATGTGCCTCCTCCTGCTTCACTTGTTTGTTATTTACAAATAAAGTTGTCTCTCCAGTGATGGCTCCTTGTGAGTTTGCTCTGGAATCTATCTAGTACACTAAGGAATCTGGAGAATAGAGAAAAGGAATAGGAGAACTCAGCTTTCTGGTCCCCAAAATGAGTCACTAAACTATTGAACGTAGAGCATAGATGTTCTTTGGGAAGGAATCAGCTTGCAGGGCAGCTGGAATCCTAGGGGCACAGAGTGTGGCCCTCAAGCAAATAAGCTGAGATTAAGTTCCAGACAATGAGCCAGTGTAGCAGTCCACTTGGGTCTGAGAACAGCCCCTTGTGGCAAGGCTGGGGTCCCTGCACTCAACATGCTTATGTGGGGCAGAAGGCTTCCACTCACCCTAGCCAGTGTGGTCTTAGCTCTGTAGGTAGAGTGAGTCACTCAAAGCCCCACTGCCTGGTGGCAGGAGCACTTCTGACTAGTATAACGAGAACTTGCATACCACAACATCCACATTAGGCAAGGCAGCTCGGATGGGAATCTGGCAGGGAGCCTGGGGAGAAACTGAATAGAGCCTATCTTATATTTGTATGTTTTTAATGATTTCATGGGGCTTGGGTTAGTGGGAGAAACTCAGCATTGCTACATACTGAATTCCCAAGGTTCCAGTGAGTCATTGTCACTAACAGTGGAGGACAGTGCTCTCATTTCAAATATTGCTAAATCTTGCAGACTTAGATCTAAAATGTATATGGTGATTGCCCTCAGATTTGACTAGATTCACTTGAAATCATAAGCATTGTTTTGTTACTATCAAAATAAACAGGAAAGTAATATATTTTTAATATGTAAAGGTATGTATTTTTAAATCTGTAATAAATTCATTTAAAAGTCTGCAGTTCCTAGGAGTGGAGTTCAGTGGTAGGACACATGCTTGCCATGTGCAAGGTCCTGGCACGGCTCACCATCCAGCACTTACATACTTATGAAAGCCATTAGACTAGTAAGGCCTGAAAGGATAATAATGAAAACCACTCCTCGCTCACCCTTCTCTATTTCTAGTCCCACTTCCTAATGGCAACTACTGCCATTTTAAAGCTGTTTCTTGATTTAGTAATATTAGAAACTATTGACTCCTTATATTACAGTGGGCTTAGCACCTTAGGAAATTCCTATTTTCAGTCTTCTGTGATAATTTATATTATCATGACTATAATAATGTGATTTACTATTGATCCAGACGATACATTATGGTTTAACTTTTCTGCCCCTAAATTAGTAACCGCCCTTTTTTGCTTTCCTTTGGGTTTGGGGGTATGGATGGAGAGGCATTGTCTTGTTTTGGGGCAGTATCTCGATGTGTAGTAGCCCTGGCTGGCCTAGCACTTGCTGTGTAGGTAGACCAGGGTGACCTAGAACACACAGAGGTTTGCATCTCTCTGCCTCTAGAGTGCTGCCATTAAATAAACTGCCTCTTTTATTTACTCTGTACCAATTGCTAACTTCAGATAGTATATCACTGTCGCTGTACCTCTTTTCTGGGAGGCCCGCCTTCTATAGCCTAGCCTAAGCTGGCCGCCCCTGGGCCTTCTGAACAGCTACTATCCTAGGGCTTCCTGGAACTAGACCCTTTTTCTTCATTTTCTGCTTCATAGGTTTGATGGGCAGGATGTGTCTTGTTCCTGCCCATCTTGTTCTGACTTGGAACTTGTCTTGTTCTGGCCTGGAACTCACTGTAGCCTGGGCTGGACCTAAACTCTCTAGGCTGGCCTGAGCCCCTCAAGTGCTGAGATGACAGGTTTGTGCCACTATTATGGTAGATGACTTTTTGTTTTGTTCTGTTTTGTTTCGTTGAGACAAGGTTTCACTGTGTAGCCCTGGCTGTCCTGGAACTCACTCTGTAGACCAGGCTGACCTCTAACTCACAAGTGCCTCTTGTGCCTCTGCCTCCCAAGTGCTAGGATTAAAGGCGTGTACCACCATCACCCAGTTTTAACAAACTTTTTAAAGATTTATTTTATATATATGAATGTTTTGCCTGAATGCATGTCTGTGCACTGCCCCTGGGAAGTCAGAAGTGAGTAGGATCCCCTGGAACCATAGTTACATACAGATGGTTGTGAGTCTCTATGTGGATTCTGGGTCCTCTAGAAGACCAACAAACATTCTTTTTTTTTAATATTTCTTTATTTATTATGTATGCAATATTCTGTCTGCGTGTATGCCTGCAGACCAGAAGAGGGCACCAGACATCATTACAGATGGTTGTGAGCCACCATGTGGTTGCTGGGAATTGAACTCAGGACCTTTGGAAGAGCAGGCAATGCCCTTAACCTCTGAGCCATCTCTCCAGCCCCCCAACAAACATTCTTAACCCCTGAAACATCTTTCTCGCTCCTTAAACAAAATTTTAATTTTAAAACAGTTTACAGGGAAGTGAAGATGGGGAGAGAATTCTCACATATCCAAACCCAGGGCTTGTGCTTGCTGTTGCCTTAGCTTCGTGTGGTAAATTCCTCACGATTTCTACCCAGGATACTTCCATAGCACCAACTCATCTTTTCGTCTTGTTTTCTGTTTTTTGAGACAAGGTTTCACTTTGTTTCCCTAGCCCTAGATCCACCTGCCACATGCCCTGCCACCCTGAATCATTTTCAGGTTCCTCTCGGAGGTGATAGTTAGAGTATGCTGTGACAGTTTTGCGGAATAATATTAAATATTTTATATAGTGTCCCTAAATAGGTTAATCTCATTACTTTTATCATGATTAGACTAGAGTTATGAATTTTGAAGAACACAGAGGTAAGGTGCATTTTATCACATGAAGTTCCATGCTGTCAGCATGATCCAAGGCAGCACTTGTCAGCTGTACCCCTTTGCATGCAGCCCACAAGTGTGGGGGGCTTACACACCCTTTTCTTTAAGAACATATGTGGCATTCTTCTGCATAGATTTACCTATTTTCTCTCACTTATTTATTTATTCAATCATTTTATTGTTTATATTTTAATGTGTATTTTTAATTTTATCACTAATATCATCATGGGCTTGGAAATGTATGTATTATACTTTGGGTTTCAGTTCAATATAATTTTTTTTGTCTAGATTATTCAAGCCTTGGCTTTTAGGCATTTCTGTGTCCTTTTCAAACATCTCTATCATTGCATTTTGTTTTGTTTTTTAATACATCCTTAACTTCTGGAATTTACTGTGTCCCAAGACTATCTTGTATATTTGAAATGCTTTTTTCGATATTGGCATAAGAACAGACAGGAGGACCAATGGAACCGAATAGAAGACCCAGATATCAATCCACACATCTTCAAACACCTGATCTTTGATAAAAAGTAAAAAATATCAAATGGAAAAAAGAAAGCATATTTAACAAGTGGTGCTGGCATAACTGGATTTCAACATGTAGAAAAATGAAAATAGACCCGTATCTATCACCATGCACAAAACTCAAGTCCAAATGGATCAAAGACCTCAACATAAAGCCAGCCACACTGAACCTTATAGAAGAGAAAGTAGGAAGTACACTTGAACGCATTGGCACAGGAGACCACTTCCTAAATAGAACCCCAGCAGCACAACACTGAGAGAAACAATTAATAAATGGGACCTCCTGAAACTGAAAAGCTTCTGTAAAGCAAAGGACATGGTCAACAAGACAAAACGACAGCCTACAGAATGGGAAAAGATCTTCACTAACCCCACATCAGACAAAGGTATGATCTCAAAAACATACAAAGAACTCAAGAAATTGGACACCAAAAGATCACATAATCCAATAAAAAAAAATGGAGTACAAACCTAAACAGAGAACTCTCAACAGAGGAATCTAAAATGGCTGAAAGATACTTAAGGAAATGTTCAACATCCTTAGTCATCAGAGAAATGCAAATCAAAACAACTCTGAGATTCCATCTTACACCTGTAAGAATGGCCAAGATCAAAAACACTGATGACAACTTATGCTGGAGAGGTTGTGGGGAAAAGGGAACACTTCTGGTGGCTTTGCTGGTGGAAATACAAGCTGGTACAACCCCTTTGGATGTCAGTGTGGCGATTTCTCAGAAAATTAGGAAACAACCTTCCTCAAGACCCAATAATACCACTTTTGGGAATATATCCAAAGAATGCTGATGCTCAATCATGCCATAAGGACATGTGCTCAACTATGTTCACAGCAGCTTTGTCATAGCCAGAACCTGGAAACAACCTAAATGCCCCTTGATCGAAGAAAGGATAAGAAAAATGTGGTACATTTACACAATGGAGTACTACACAGCAGAAAAAAATGACAGCTTGAATTATGCAGGAAAATGGATGGAGCTAGAAAACATTATTTTGAATGAGGTAACCCAGACACAGAAAGACAAATATCACATGTACTCACTCATAGGTGGGTTTTGAACATAAAGCAAAGAAAGCCAGCCTACAAACCACAGTCCCAGAGACCTTAGACAGCAATACGGACACTAAGAGAGACTTACATAGATCTAATCTACATGGGAAGTAGAAAGTAGAAAAAGACAAGATCTCCTGAGTAAACTGGGAGCATGCGGACCTTGGGGGAGGGCTGAATGGGGGAGGAGAGAGGCAGAGAGGGGAGCAGAGGAAAATGTAGAACTCAATAAATATCAATAAAATATATATTAAAAACAGCAAAAAATAAATGCTTTTTTCATAACAGAGTGTCTATTGGAACAAATTACTAGTAGATGTACCTATTCAATTCATGACTGTTTCATAACTGAGGCCCTCAAAAGATGATTCCTTTGTGAAAGACAGAAATAAATGTTCAATGGAATTCTCCAATGCATATGTTCCCCCTATGCTTCTTCCCTTTACTGGGGCCAGAAACCTCAGGGCTTTGTTTTGCTCTCCTCCCTGATCAACCTCTTTCTTGTCAATGCATCTGTCTTTCACATTTTTGCCCTCCCCTATGCCATTTCCAGTGTTCAGCTCAGATCCACCCTTCCTTCTTTCAGTTACAGTATAACACGATAGCTTTTTGCTTAGGATTGGTATCTGTGGCCTTTCACAGACAGGCCTACACAGCT